CAATTTGGATCTCGCCTGAACTGGTCGCACCCGCCCGCCAGCGGGACTCGAACCCTGGTTGTGGTAATGCAGCGCGTAGCACGTGTGGCTTGGTGGTTACCGTGTCGAGGACGGCAGCAACCCGGGTTCAAGAGCTGCTGGTACCAATTCAGGAGAGGTCGAGATGAGAATAGGTTTTAGGAAACGAGGCCATGTGAATTTGAATGGAAACATGTGGACTGTTTAACAGATGGTGGGAGAATTCAATTGCAACTGCTTCGTCAACCTCAACGAAATAGGATGAACGCAATTCTTAGTCAAGATCTACCGACAGTTTCGAAAGTCCGCTTAATTAAACGCATTAGACTGTCGACATTATTATGCACATAATTAGTGTCGAGGGCCGGGTCAAGTCCTCTCGAAGACATGCCATAATGTGTACGACGGCAGAGCCTGTTGGCCGACCTTAACGAGCCCAGAGTGTAAAATGTATGGTCATGTGCAAGTAGAGCATGCAATAAAAGCTCGCCCAACGTGAATACGAGTACAGCTTGATAGGGAAAGCTGGCCCGGAGTGAAGATGCCCGGATTGTCCCAGCAACTGAGGCCTATTGAAGTGAGGCGGCGCGGTTTCGACGATTGAATGTCTCCAATTGACACTATTCAGCCAGTCCCAAGAGCATCATAGTCTTGGTGGGAAAAATCTGTGTGCATGTGAGTGTGTGTTTGTAGCAAGTTTAAGCATGCGCAGAAGGAGGTGGCCACATAAGCGAACGGACGGTGGACGCAAAGCCCGGGCGAAGGTGTCAGCTTGCCTGGACAGGGAGTGAGACAAGGCAGGTATGAGAGCGCATCGAGTTTGTCGAGTTTGTCGAGTTTATCGAGTTGCCATCCTGTCCTCTTGCCCAGTACAACTTCGAATGGGATTAGTCTGGCGAGCTGAGGCAAATTGAGACTAAAATGGTGGGGGAAACGGGGCCAAAGCAGACGTACGGGCAACATGAAGAAGTTGAGAGGAGTGGGCTGGCGAGAATTTATGATACGAGAGAAAGGCATCTGCAAGAAGCGGTTTGTATATAAACAGTTGGAGTTGGGTAGATGGGCGAATGAGTGTTGGGTAGCAAGTGAAACGCTGCATTTCCCATTGGTTTGACGGGCCCAGCAACTTGACACCCATAAAACGGCTTCTGCGTACTTGGGCAACCGGGCCGTGGTGTGCCTATTGCCTGAATTAAGGGAGACTCCTCGCAAAGAAGGTTTCTTGGAAAGAGGGCAGAACATGCCTGAATGGGAGAAAAAGTTGGAGGCAAGCGGCCACCATGACGCTACGAGAGGGAAAGGTGCTCGTTGGTTGGCCAAACTCGGAAGGTGTTGATACCGAAAGGGCCACTCGGAACTCCTCCTCGAGAAAAGATGTCGACAGAATTGCCGAAAAGAGGTTGTTCCATTTCATAATGCAAGAAAGGCAATCAGGTATCGAATCCAGTCGCGAGGGTTGATGAGAGACGGTGAGGCAGGGTCGAAACGGCCATTCAGTCTAGTTCCTCTGATGTGAGATGGTCTTATGGGAGGCAAATTTGCCTGTACCATACCGAAAAGTTTCATATACTAAAGCTCCTATTCAAACTCTCATAATTGTCTTAAAATCCTCTTCAAAACCAATTCGACTGTAACGACAAATGCTTGCGAGCTTGATCGAAAATACTGGCTTTTAACAAATTTTTTATTAAACGCACTTTGCTTGCATTGAAATTCACATTTGCCAGCTGCCAGAGCGCGAGTCCCGTTTTATGAAAGGTGAGACCAGATCGGATGAGATAGCATTTTTGGGAGGTACGATCCTGTTTAATGAAATCGCGAGGCATACTCATTTGATTGTGATAAATAGGATTTGGTAAATAGGATTTCGAGGAGAACATAAGCAATAGTTTCGATTGCTATAGCAAATATAACTTTTCTTCATCGAAAATCACACCACAGAATA